TTTATAATGAAGATAGATATAGATTAAATTTTAAATCGTATACCTTATTGCATGAAATGTTAGCGACATGTTAATTTAGCGATTTTGAAAATTTCCCATTTAGCGACACTTTAATTTAGCGATTTTTCGTAAAATTTGGGAACATAAGTCACTTAGTTTTAGCGATTTCACGAACTGAAACTCAAAAATATTTAAGCTTATTTGGTGCGAAAATGTATTTGATAAAATTATAAATGTCATAACTTGATTTAAATATATATAAAAAAAATCATTCAACTTTTGCAGATGGCAACATTTTATCCCATAGACATACAGATGGCAAAATTTCACAGTGTACTCACTTTAATTTAGCGACACTTTAGAGGCGGCATTAATTCAAATTTCATGTAATAAAGGTAGATAAAATTTTAGATGGTATTAGTGCCGTTTCAAGGTATGATATAACTGTGTATATGATTGTAAAAGAAGTCCGGAAATAGGACAGCATACTCAGTGTTCGCCTTGTAGGGGCCCATTTTCTTTATGTCTAAGTTTGTTTCTTTACTGTTGTGCAGTAATTTACAACTTGATTAATTATGAAAACTACTCTGTTGTTGGCCTTCATAATTTCAAACCTTTGTATCAGCAAGCTAGCTGCTGCCACTCATATGAAGTTTAAAATATTCCTTTTCACACTGGTCGTACTGTACTCCTTATAAAGTCCATTCAGGCTAACAAAAACTGTTTATATGTGTTTATATATGTATTTTTTAGCTGCACGATCATGAGCCACATAAACACTTTAATTACTATGTGTTATTTATTTATTAATCATAGCTCTAACAAAATTCTCAATTTTTATTGGTTCTGCCTGCACCACCGTATTTAATCCCTGAATTGTACTCCACTCAGACCTTATTACCAACTTATTTATTAATATTTTTATTCTTTTTATTTGGTAATAAATTAATTATTTGATTATATTTCATACCCTAAAATAGGCATCTTTTTAAAATGGAGTGGACACAGGAGTGTGACCTGCTTCTTTTACAAGAAATTGTGGTGTCACAGCCTTACAAATTCAAACCATCAACAAGAGATAGAGGGCAAGTGTGGGAGGGCATTACGGCAAGGCTAAATGCCACAGAATTATTCCATGATCGGCTCCGTAACAAGAGAGCAGTCAGGGACAGGTATCAATTACTTTCAAAGAAATTCAAGAACAAAATGGCTGAGGAAGAACGAGCAAGTGGGATATCCCCTGAGATGACAGAAACAGACAAGTTGCTGGAACAGATAGTGGAACAGTTTGAGGAAAGTGAAAGAGACGCCGGAGAACAGTCAGAGAAGAATGACCAAAATAAGGAGAATGAAAGGAAAAAGGCAGAAGAGATGAGAAACAGGTCGATGGAGAAGCTGGGGGAGACTCAGAAAAGAAAGGCAACAGCTGAGGATGGGCAACAAACAACACCGAGAAAGAGATCATCAGGATCAGAAACCCTCGTGTATTTGAGGGAAAAGGCAGAACGGGAGTTTGAGCTAAGACAAGAGGAATTAGAAGTAAAAAAGAAAGAACAATCTGCACAACTTCAGATGTTCCAGTATATGCAACAGCAACTGCAGCAACAGCAACAACAACAACAACAGCAAATGCAAGTTCAAATTCAGCAGCAGCAACTGCAAAATCAAATGCTCTTGGCACTTATTGAGAAAATCACCAAGTAAAAAGTGTTCTTTAAGACTCTGTAAGATTTCAAAGTTTCACGTTTATTTAAATCATTAGCATTTTATTATATATATATATATATATATATATATATATATATATATATATATATATATATATATATATATAAACATTTACATTTTTACATGTATGCATATATAACTTAATTATATATTTTTGCCAATTTTATCTTGGCTTTTATGATCTGCTGTGAGCTGTAACAGATTGTGTATAATCCAATGTATCGATCAGCTGAGACATTTAATATTATTCCATTGTACAAAGAGCAAAATAAGACTAACAGTGAGTTAATTGTCTTTTAATTCAAGACATTTAATGGTTAAAAATGCTTTAAAAATGCATTTATAATTGCTTTTCAGTATTTATAAAGTTAACTTCAGAATTTTTTAAGCATGCCCAAATTCAAATTCACATGTACAGTGAAAATATATATCAAGTAAAAATTTTGAGCAGGTTCATAAAACTGATAAAAATTTTAAAAAACTGGATTGGTCTGACAATTCTATTGATTATAGGATCCAAAATGGTCCTTCACAAGCCTGTATGAGCCACTGAAATCTTGACAGGGCATGCAACAATGATTAGTTATACCCTCCCCCCCCTCCCTCCTCTGGGCGCATTGACCCATATCTTACAAGAATCTCTGATAACATTTCCTTAAATAAAGTACTGGGCTAATGGAGGCGGTTCAACACCAAAGAAAGAAGAAGTTGTCGACCCATATGTACATGAGTGGGCATTTCTCAACAGGGCACAAATGATATACATTTTTCCTACTGCACTGAGTCCAACCTTAAGATTTCTTTTAAAATCTAAAAACGAAAAGTACTCTAAAATGTCACCAAAAACCCACTCTACTGCTGTTCTTACTTTACTCATCGATTTGTTAAACAGTTGCTGTGGTGCTGTTAGGGCAGCACCCTTAAATGGACCCTGCAGGTGGACCCTCAAGGGTTATGCAGGGTCACCATATAAACATAACGGTTGGCCTGTTGGAGATATACAGTGAGCTTCTAACATTGGCAACAAACCAGACATGGCTAACATTCCGCTGTCGTGTCTGCATCCTTCCACAGGTCCAAAAAGGTTTACGATCAGACCATTTGGTGCAACTACACTTTGAAACTTTATCGCATGCACTCTCTTGTGGCCATTGTACAATACTCTTTGGTTTTCGCTAGGCCTAGCAACTGGTCGTACAGTTCCGTCTATAAATCCCCAACAGTTGTCAAGGGCGGCTCCTTTATTGTAGATAGCTTCTGCAAAATCAACTAGATTTGCTTGTGATAGCCATGGCTGATTAATACCAGAAAACAACTGTCCGAAGCGGGCATAAAGAATATCCATCATCTCAGACACCACCATACATAATTGCGGTACAGGCCTTCCAAATCGGGGAACAAGGTCTTCGTACCTGCATGGAAAGGCAAAACGACGCAGAAGCAAGCATAGCGCTTCATCACTGTAAACATAAAAACGATTTGGGCAGGTAATTTTGCCAGGAAGATCCAGAACGTCGAGCAGATTGTAGATATCATGTTTTAAGAAACGGAATTCGCTTTTGCATTCGTCGTCGGAAAGAGAGTCCAGATTGAATTTTTCGTACTTCCAGTAAGGAATGTCAAGATTCTTTGAAGTGTTAACGTCGTAGAGTAACAGCATTTCTTCATCGGCGATCAAATCCAAGGCATTAGCAAGCAAAAGAGCCTCTCTTGCCTCCCTGAAGGTGGCCATTTTTCCTTCGGGGCCTGTGCATGTCGCGTTGTATTGCGTAAGGTTTGTTTACGTTTAGGACGGCAACGTCAACCCTCGCGTGCTCGGACCAGTACTCGCGCGGTCCACGGTCGCCGTCCTCATTCTGCCGTCCTGTTGCGTAAGGTCTCTATTGTTTCTGAAGGTACGACTTCTGCATGAAGAAATATTGAATGTGCTACTGCATAACCCCTGCGGGTGGGTGTGGGGGATACTATGTAAATTTTTGGGTGGGCGTTCCGATTCCCATTTTAGACAAACTTCTTCATACCAACGATCAGTTTCCCGGTAAATGATAAACAAAAGTGGTTTTTTTGGTAATATTTTATAGACTTGTTTTATGTCGTCAATACTTGAATGTTTACTGAAAAATTCATTTGTGAAATGTACGTAAATGGTATTGTAACAATCCTAAATGAGAGAATTCAAATACATGTAAAATTATTGTTTTATGTGATTAGAAGAATGTTATCTTCAGGTTGAAACAGATGAACTTTGCAATCATTTAAACCTGAAAGCAATTTGATCTACAAAATAGGGGGACATGCCACCAAACCCCCCTAGAAGGTTAGCGCCTTCACTTGCTTCATTAGCTGCCTCTTTTTTCAATTCAGCCTTCTACTTACAAAGTAGAAGTAGGATGATTTACTAGAAGAGAATGTTCTGAAGGACCTTGATGAATCAAACTTTCCAGGAGCTGTTGAGACCAATCCTGAATCATACAACAGGAACACCCTCATCAACTGGCTGCTTCTCTTCATTTGTTACTGGTGGACATACTGTAACATTGTTGACCGTGGAATAGAACTCTTCCTTAAGTTCTTGCATGCATTCTTTTCTGTTCTGGCTGAGCGGATCCCATGGATGGCATTATTTGCAGCATCAGCATACCAAGTTTATTGAGCGATGTGATCCATGGTACCGTCTTGAGAGGTTTCAAGGGTCCAGATGGTTCACGGTTTATTAGCCATCAACGGAACTTGGCTTCAATGATGAACGTTGATTGGTTTCAACCATTTAAGAGGCTGTCTCTCTTATTTCCACCCGGTCAATTTTGCGTCAAAAATAATTTTGCCTGAAACTCTGTTAACAGAAAGACTTAACCTAGGAAAGAACTAAATTAGATTTGGTTTGATTCGAAATAATTTTCTGACGGCACTACGGGCCATAATTATTTCCCAGTCCGTAGGGACCGTCGCAACGTCTCGAAAATTGAAAAATAGGCATATTTTGTAATGTTGTAAAATATTTGATTCGCATAGCTAAGCCACAGAATTTATATCAGATTGCTTAAAAACCTTTCTGGTTTGCCAAGAAAGTTAGAATTTGCCCTCTCAACATATTTGAAAAGGCGAATTTTAGCATATTCTGACCACTAGAAATCGCCATCGGCCGATGGCCGTAAATAACCTTGATTTAGACGCTAAGTTTTGAGATTTGGGACCTGATTGACGATTCTATCCCACACAGCCGTTAAGTTTAGACCTTTATTGGCAAAAATATGCAAAAACCCCTGTACGTTTTCGGTTTTTCAAAAGTTATGACCGTTTGAATCAGCACATGTACGAGCATTCGCGATTTTTTCGCCTACACCAAAATCGAACCACTGGAGCAGATTTCGTCATAAATACAGCTTACCCGCTTTGCAGCCTGGCTTCATGGCTCACTTCAGAATTTTTCTAATAACCAAATTGGTGAAATCCATGATAACTTCAACAAATAGCTAGGTATTGCCTTCGAAAAGTAGGCGGCATCCATCGTGATTCGTGGTATCAAAACAAATGCCGGAATTGGCCACATTTCGCGGTGAATCACCCATTTAACATCGCTGCAGAGCTGAATTTTTTCCAAAATCAGAATATAAACTCTCCATGTCTGGAAGCTGAGGGAGAAATGAAGGTTTTAGGCTTCTGAAGTGAAGAAATAATCGCTTAAATTTAGATCCAGTTCGATGTTATACTGTTCTCACAAAGGTCCGCGCCAAAGAGAAGACCGCTGATAGCTTGTGCCGTACGTTGTGCCATATGGTTTTGTTTTGTATCCCAATGTAATATTTGGGAAGAAAAATTTTGGATGAAAAGAGTAAATGCTTTTACCTGGAGTTTGATATCATTTAAGTAATAAATCAATTTCAAATATCCTGAGCTTGCTTCTCTCGGTTCCGCGTCGATTGTGTCCACAGAACAGCAACCTGTCAATAGCCGGAGAAATCGGCTACCAACGTGTTAAAAACTTGACACGTGCTTCGTATGAACAGATATTATAAGTGTTGCTTTTGGTAAATTTTCAATCGATTTCATCAAAACAATTCACTGACTACTAGATATTATAATATATTACACTATAACAACGCCGTCAGAACTTGATATCGGAAGTAAATGTAGTTTGTATCTGTAGAGCATATTCTACACTTTCAGCCATCGTATAAGACATTGTTTACATAAGTCTACTGAGATACACACTGACAATCACTAATCACGCCCGACAGTTTGTCTATGAGGATCTGTTTTTTGTCTCTCAATTTTACAGGGATCTCAAAATGACTACAGATGGCTCTCAACAAAACCACATTGAATCTCTGAAGTGTGTTATTGTGGTAACGTTCACAGAGGTCCTACGTATCGTAGCAGATTGGATGTGAGACTTTGATCTCTTTGTTAACTTTGTCTACCAGATCTTATCTCTCGGAATTTTCCTGGACGCATTGGATATCTTCCTCCTCATCCAGTGATATCCCGATCACACCCTGATCTTTTCGCCGCATTGTTGCTAGCCGGGAGAAAAAGCTCTGAACTTGGCTCTTTGTCAGCCTGACTGTTCTCTAGTGAACAAACGTGCATTTGATTCATTTTTCGCATTTCGCATGTCCACTGCAACTTGGGCGGGGTCGGCCTTTCGCCCAGTTCTTTCTCCAAGTGTAAACCGTGCCGTTAGGTATTCTTTTACCTTCTCTGAAAATCTAACGCTGCCCCTTGGTTTGCTTACGGCCCATCCTGTTCGTAAAGACGAGTGGGGCGAAGTATCCACTGGAGAAGTGAGTGGTGTACTAGAATCTAACGAACAGCTCGAACACTCGATACCAGCGGTATCTATCGACGAGAACTTAAGGGCCCAGTCCCTTTTGATTGCATCATACTGGCTTTAACCTGCTGACTGTATGCTTTCCAACGTCCAGGTGCAGCTCCAGCTGCAAAAAGGTTTCGAACACTTCAACACATCCAAACACAGAGTATTCAAACAATGGCGTTGTACTCTCTGTTTCCTTGCTGCCCTTTGAACGACGCTTGACCACACGCTTTTCAGGAGGATCATAAAACCCTTGAGATTCTATGGTTTGAAGGGACGTTTGACCTTGGTGCTTGATATAAATTACGTCATTTGGAATGTACTTCCCTTTACCGATGCCATAACATTTCCAAACTCTCAGACCGATATCTCCATATTCGAAGTTGTGGAAGCTACTAAAATGCTCAATCTTATTTGTACAGAGAGTGTTCTTTGATTCGTCTACTATTCTTACTGCAGCGGTTCCCTTCACTGGGTGTTTCGTCAATGCGTATCCTCTGTCCAATGAAAGCTTTAACAACCTCGCTGAAGACTCGCTACAGACTGAAGCCTCTCTGGTTTCGAAAAAGCACTTGCATGCCATACAGCACTTGCAGGCCTTCCAAAAAAAATAAAGGGTCAGCGGGTTCACCCGCAATGATTAATGCGGACCTCTGTTATGCGCGATAGTGCAATCGTTCAGCTTTAAATTCCAAAACGCCAAACTTCGACACATAGACTTACAAGTGGAGTTCTATGACTGATTCTTGAAGAGAATGCAGCTGCAATCCAAAGTTTCAACGGGACATTAAGCGCAAAACATGGCTTTAGTTTTCGAGTTTAGTTCGCAACAACGAGTCAAAGAAGAGTATCGACAGATGCCGACCGCTGAATTTTGGAGGTATTTGCTGGAGTTATCATAAAGTCCAGTTCACCAGTTTGGGAAGTACCGCAGAAGTTGACAGTCAGTTCAGGCAACTGTATGGCTTGCACTGGTCAAGTCACACAATTTCTTGTACGAGCCTCTACCAATATTCAGCCAGTTTTAGTAAAAATCACACTTTTGATCCAGACAAAAAGTGCCCAAATCAGAGTGATCTCCCTAGAGATACAAAGTAGAGAAACTGAATAGATCATACAAGGGGGGACGCGAGTGAAAAAACGTCTCCGTGGGGTGAAATATGGTTCGTATGATGTTGAACACATTTGTCTATTTTGTCTAATATTTGTCCTTGAATGAAATATGGCTTCATATTCAAACAGTATTTGTCTTGCATTTATCAGGGACAAATATGATAACATATTTGTCACACATTTGACGTCTTTGCAACCAGGACAAATGTAACATCAAATTTGTCTCACATTTGACCTGGAGCCAAATGTGGTCAAATCCATTATTTCATCCAGTGTTTCTGTCTTCGTTCCACATCTGGAGTGTGATGTTGGCTGGACTAACAAGTGTGTCTCCAATGTTGCTTTTGGGTATGATATTCACAGTTGCACCACAATCAACCTGCATTTTGACCCTCTTTGACTCGACATACATCTCACACATAATGGCATCTTGGTTTTCATAATTCGCCACCCCATTAATCAAATGTACAAGGGGTGAATACTTGTTCAAAATCCAAGTCCTGGTCATCACTTTCTATCTCTGCTGCGTGTGCTCTCTCTTTCCTGTTACAAACAGTTGAGCCTCTTCAGTGATTCTTTTCTCCACACACGCACACTACATCTTTTTCCCTAAGCGGGAAAGAGGTGCTTGTGAAACACATGAGTGGTGAGACAAAATTTGCCCTTAATTTCCTGTGGTGCTCTTGGTTTTCATCGGGCTTTGGTCTTTGGTGTTTTCAACCTTGCATACTGATGGAAAACTTTCGCTACTTTCTCCCAATTGGGCATTTGTTGACTCTGTCAAGCGAAAAATGTCAATGCAA